TTACAGTAACTAAGTATTAAACAGCCCAAAATTATAATATAAACATAACACTGTCTTGGCAACTTTCATACCTGTAATAATGTACAGAAGAAATTATTGAAACTGGATCATGTTGACTATCTCAGTAGTCACACTACAGGGCGAGGTTGACCTGACATGTTGCTGGCTGGGATTGCATCAGATTGATTACCCGGCATCGTTTAGCTAACCCGGCGTTAGCCAGCGTTTCCTCATTAAGCTAAGTCAACGGAATAATGGGAACAGGGGGTTAACTAGTGACTCGTCTTGTGAAAGTTTGGTCTTAAATAACTAGGTACTTAAATAACAACCACAATGGCTTTTCTAGATTTGCTGAATTATGCTAGCTGCGCTAAGATTAGCGTGCTATTCACATCTGGTTATACTAAATAAAATGACAGACAAACTTCAATGAATTGCTTAAGAAACAGTGTACAACATCTATTCACTAATCAATACGGCGCAAATATAACACACCAACCAGCACGTTTACCATTTAAATTACTGACTTTCTTAAGTGAGATCAGACCACTGCAGTGCAGTGAGCTTTTAGCTTGCGCAGCAACACAGTGAAGCTAACAACCAAAAGTATTCCCTAAATTTATTCTGAAGATTTTATATTTAGTATTACAATGAGCCGAATAAACAGGTGGACCCTGAATAAGTCCAAAACCTTGTTCGGTCCCATTTCGGATCAAACAGTTAACCACAATTAAACTGTAACAGTTTAAAAAAATACATTTTTTAAATGGAGTCTGGCGTGAACTCTTCTCCGTTGTAAGATACATTGACGGCTACGCTAACATTAGCATCGTTAGCCACCGCGTTGACGTTAGCTGCAGAGTGACTTACATTTTCTCCACTCTGTGTCTGCGGCCACCAACTTGTCAACCAGGGTAACATCTTTAAACCTCTTTCTTTGAGTCTCACGGACGACTTCGGGGTCGCCGCCTTTGTCGGTTCGAAACAGGTCCAAGTCGAGCACCATCTTTCCACGCTGTCTGTCAGAGACGAAACCGATAGAGCTCTTGCCGACGTCGCCTCCCACCGAGTTGCCAGATTTTGTTGTTCACGTAAAAAAAGAGTTGTTGTTTTTTTTACTCCAATGCAAACAAGTATTTTAACTTAAATGAGATCAATATATTGTTCATGATAAATACAATAGACCCAAATGCTCATGTTAACTAGGGTGTATTGTCAGTTTTTAAATACATTTAATTTATGAAATTAATTGTTAAAACAACATTTATACAGAAATTATCTCTGCTGGCTAATATGTTATTCAATAATGAAGTGCCACAATCTGCATTTCCTCTTATGTCTACTTGAGGCTACCTTGTGTGAGATTTCAAGTGCTGTGGGAGGCTGCCTGGTTAGTCTGCTTATCCCTCGAGCTGTTGAACAATATCAAAATGCATGCTCCACCAGCAGATCACAAAGCAAAACCAGATCAGGGAATTTCTAATTCATCGCCTGACATCTGCCTCGCATCACAGCTGTTCCCTGCACCAAGCAGAATGAAGTTTCTCAAATACTCTTCAAAAACGGACCTTCAAAACACAGTTTAAATGTCTGGCAGAGCAGAAGGTGAAGACCTTGTCGATGGAAGCAGATCATGATGCATTCTTAAAATGCTTTGACAAAACCAGGGTATTCTAGAATTCGAGGACAAACTCGGGGAGCATTTAACTCAATGCATAATTGTGATAAATGACTGTGATCTCAAATTTGATCAAAATAATTGGGCCCTGATCATTAAGTTTTTCTGGTAGAACCATTCAAAAAAGCTCTGTAAAACTGCTGTGGTGCAGCTCTACATAAGAGTCACTCTTGCATTTGCAAATGCAGAAGAAGCGAGTGACCAAAAAAAACTAACTAACTTACTAATTAGCCAATTGAGATTGCCACACACAAAAATAACATAAATAAGAAAACATCAGCTTCTGCTTCCTCATGGGGAATAAACATCTCAGTTGGGACACCATAAAAACAGTATGTGTAAAAACAGGGGCTGTCACAACTGGTAAGCACCTACTGTGTGTCCAGATGAACAAAAGAATTGGAAAAGTATCTGGAAACCTAAGCTCAGTGACTCACACTTGATCCCTGAAGCAAAGGCCTAAAATGTGAGTAATATACAACCTGGGGATGGACTCCTTTAGCTCAGATAATATGGCTCTTAAAATCTGCAGCACCTGAGCGACCCCTTCTTTGAAACACGTTCCGGTAAAAATAGGAAATACCGTATATTGCGATTATATTAGTAGTAATTATAATCATAACTGACCATTTATATATCCTACATTTGGAATTGGATGGCGTGTTCTCGGGGGATGAGAGACTGATGGTTGGAGAAGACTTCAGAGGATATGTACCTGAAGGGAACAGAGGTGATGAGAAGGTGTTGCGTAGGTAAAGTGTAGAAGGACAAAAATACATATAAGAGTGGAGGAAGGTGCATACAGGTGAACTATTCTGGGTGAAGGTGAGCTGAGAATGTGCTGCCTGGCTTCCTTCTCTCCTGAGAAGGAAGCCAGGCAAAAATGCCAAGTCACATTTTTCCTCTGGGGAGAATGTGACGAGGCAGCATCAGGTGGTAGTATGTAGGATGAATTTAGTCATTAAGAAGAGAAAACAAGTTAAGGCAGAGTCAAAGATTAAATGGTGAACATTGAAGAAAGAAGGATGTTGCAGAGAGTTCAGAGAGGAGGTGAGATGGGGTAGAATTACTAGATGACTGCAGATGTACGGCTGAAGTAGGATAGTCAGAGAGATGAAGAAAGTGGACAGGGGTCCTGAGAGGCTAGGATTACAGCAAAAAAAGAGAGGTGACTTTTACAGAAAGACAAGCAGAGCCTGGACTTGCAAGAGAGTAGAGTGATTAAGGATCAAGATGGAAATGTACTAACCATTGATGAGAGTCGCTATCTTTCTGCTGCTCCCTTTAGGGGTCGCCACAGTGCGTCTTCTGCCTTTATCTCAGTCTATCCCAAGCATCCTTCTCCATTTTGTGTGGCATGTGTGTCCATCCTGGTTACTTCCAATGAAAAAGTTAGCATCTTAACATCTTCAACACAGACACACATACACCTTTGTTTTATTGGTAAATGTAAATGGGATTGCTTTTTCAAACAGGGCTGCTTGTTGCTTCAGGGCCTGGACCTTCTTCTTCCTAGCATTTGTCCCGTGTGGCAGGGTCAGCTTTGCGAAAAATCCATCTCCATTTGGCACGATCGAAGGCGTCTTCTGGGGCAACATTGACAATCTTCATGTCAGCAACACGGTTGCTGGCCACCGGGCTCAAGCCTCATTGCCGTTTTTGCCACTGAGCTGTCGTCTAAGACAGCTAAGGTCAGGACCTGGACCCCTGGCCATAATTGATGGCTCTGGCTCTCTACCAGAAAGTCGTGAAGGAGATTGAAATGCTAAATATAGATGATTCTTTTATTCTTGTTCTTCTGCCAAAAAGAATACACTCAAACATGGACAGACTTCTTTCATAAACCCCAACAAAGAAAATAATTTCCAGTGTAGCAGAGGGAGTAATGTGAATATTTACAATAGACCCTTTTTCAAGTTTTCTTTGTTAGTTATTTGTTGATATACTAACAGTAAAAGGAAGTTCAACTTCCCATAAAATAATTTGTCCATTTAACTACTGGTGTTATGGAGGCATTTTGAGAATCCTAGAATACTCTTCTTAACCACGTGGAGGAAAAACTTTGTTTAATCATAGATGCAGATACATACAGAAACAAATCAAATCAAATCACTTTTATTGTCACATCACATGTGCAGGTACACTGGTACAGTACATGTGAGTGAAATTCTTGTGTGCAAGCTTCACAAGCAACAGAGGTGTGCAAAAATACAATAACATAAGACAAGCAACATATAAGAATGGCTAAATCTGAGAATTATATGAATAAATATATGTACAATATAAGAGTGTATGCATATTACTGAATGTGTATACTAAATATGTATATCTATGTGTGTGTATATATGTGTGTGTGTGTACATATTTTACAAATTAAATAGAGTAAACAATAAAATAAAATATACAGAGGTTTGTAGTTGGATATTGTGCAAAACAAGTGGCATTTATATACAGTATGGAGTGCATAACGTTGAAGTTCCAGTAGTGGAGGTGAGGTGTCTATGAAGTGTTCAGCAGTCTGATGGCCTGATGGAAAAAGCTGTCTCTCAGTCTGCTGGTACGGGACCGGATGCTGCAGAACCTCCTTCCTGATGGAAGTAGTCTGAACAGTTTATGCTTGGGTGACTGGAGCCCTTGATGATCCTCCCCACTTTCCTCAGGCACCGCTTCCTGTAGATGTCCTGGAGGGAGGGAAGCTCACCTCCAGTTATCCGTTCAGAGCACCGCACTACTCTCTGGAGAGCTTTGCGGTTGTAAGCGGTGCTGTTGCCATACCAGGTGGTGATGCATCCAGTGAGGATGCTCTCAATGGCACAGCGATAGAAGGTCCTGAGGATGTGGGGGCTCATGCCAAATCTTTTCAGTCTCCTGAGAAAGAAGAGGCGCTGTTGTGCCTTCTTCACTGTTTTTGTTTATGTGTACTGACCACGTAAGATCCTCAGCCATATTTACACCAAGGAAGCGGAAGCTGCTCACTCTCTCCACAGCAGCGCCGTTGATGGTGATGGGGGTGTGTACTTCTCTGCACCTCCGGAAGTCCACTATCAACTCCTTTGTCTTTGCGACGTTGAGGGTGAGATGGTTGTCTTGACACCAGTGGGTCAGGGCGCTGACCTCCTCCCTGTAAGCCGTCTCATCACCTTTGGTGATAAGACCCACCACTGTAGTGTCATCCGCAAACTTCACAATGATGTTGGAGTTGCTAGTGGCCGTGCAGTCGTAGGTGTAGAGTGAGTACAGGAGAGGGCTCAGTACACACCCCTGTGGAGCACCAGTGTTCAGTGTGATGGGGGATGAGGTGATGCTGCCTAGTCTGACCACTTGGAGTCTGTCAGACAGGAAGTTAAGGATCCAGCTTCGAGGGAACGATGGTATTGAATGCTGAGCTGTAGTCTAAAAACAACATTCTCACATACGTGTCTCTCTTCTCCAGGTGTGAGAGGGCAGCATGGAGTGTCAGGGCTATGGCATCATCAGTGGACCTGTTGTGGCGGTATGCTAATTGTAGAGGGTCCAGTGAGTCGGGTAGTGCAGAGCAAACGAAGTCCCTGATCAGCTTCTTGAAGCATTTGCTTACGATGGGGGTCAGGGCTACAGGTCGCCAGTCGTTCAATGACTGGTTGTTTATTTAATTTTCTTTAATGATGTATAATGATGATGATTTTTATACGCTGAGAGTGGCATAGTGTTGCAGTGGTTAGCCTCACAGCAATAAAGTCCTGGGTTAAAATCTACTGGTCAACCACATTCTCACTCCTAACTCGTCAAATGTGCGACGCGTGGTCAGGCTCCCTCTGCTTCTATCCAATTTAAATGATTGGATAGAATCAGGCGTGAGGATAGCAATAGGAAGGTTATTCCATAAATCTGGTGCACCCAAGGCAAACGCCCGGTCACCTCTGGACTTCAGCCGAGATCTTGGCTGAACCAGGAGTAACTGAGTAGATGATCTTAGTGCTCTAGCGGGACGATCTGAGTAATATTTTTCCACATTCAGCATCATTTTTTCCACATTTAGCTGAAGACCGGACAAAAACATGTGTTTAGGGTTTTTTTTTACAACATTTACTAAAATATTTGCAACTTTTTATATTTAAAACACAATTTTAAATGTTAAATATTAAATCAAAATGTTAAATCTAAATGTTAAATCTAAATATTTTTTCAAATCTAAATGTTAAATCTAAATATTATTTTTAAATCTAAATGTTAAATCTAAATATTATTTTTTTAAATTTAAATGTTAAATCTAAATATTATTTTTTAAATCTAAATGTTAAATCTAAATATTTATTTTTAAATCTAAATGTTAAATCTAAATATTATTTTTTTAAATCTAAATGTTAAATCTAAATATTATTTTTTTAAATCTAAATGTTAAATCTAAATGTTACAGGAAACTAAATATT